TGATTAAATTTCCTGAATATTTGGTTATATAAGTTCAAGAAAGTTCCTATGCAATTCATTATCTCATGAAATGAAACACACCGACTTGTTACCCAGTACGGCTTCTCCAATTTTTCACTATGACCGCTATGCCCCTCAATGTCTGCTAATTTAGTTCAGGCTCAAAATCTGATTCCTAAATTGCAAGAATGTCTTAGAAGAGTAATCAGCTTTAAGTCTGTAGACCTGACACGCACCAACCCGAAATGAAGTCCTGGAGGAAAATGAGACCGTATCAGAAATACTGGGCAAATTTTGGCGTTTTATCTTTTGGCAGAGAATCGATGAAATATCTCTAAAAATTATCTTCTCTTCTTGATATTATTCCCTACCCGAAGGAGAGTTCGAAATATTTCTAAATGCAGACATTTTCAATGAATGGAAGATTATCAACCGTTGCAGCAAGGTCACAGCTACTGAAAATTTCACCGTTTTACAAATATAAAGAGAATATTGCTAAAAATATGAGGAATCCGTCATTGATTTGATGATTTGGTTCAAATACATGAAGCACCACATTGATTTTCTTCGGCGTTCTTTAGGAAGTTCGAGTGGCCGCATGGCTAGAGGTTCGGGTTGAAAAATCGGAGAGGCTTGTTCGAATTCAATTCGGATTTGTTATATTCATAAAAAAAAACAAATCATTAAATTTGCCATCTATAAATTGCCATTTATCAGGAAATACATTTCCAATCAGAGAGAAACGAAGAAATTGTCTATATGAATTTACTCTGCTGAATCCATTTATATGAAATTATCCTGTTTTTAATTATCAGGGATACGTGACATTTTTCTAAAAATAATTTCAAATATAAAAACGGAATATCTTATTAACGTATTTTTTATTTTATTTTACAATGAAGGGAACCGATGAATTTACATATGAAAAACAATGTTACTTATAAGATCTTCAGATTTTTAACAAGAAAAGTTAACCAAAATAATGCAAACGAACCACGCACAGTATCTGGTAACTTTTACAATCTGAATGTTGAATGAATGAATGAAGGAATAAGTCGTAGAAAGTGAATATTATGGGAATAGATGCCCAAACACAATACTGATAATATATAGATGATTATGATGATGATGGGGGTGGATGACTACGCAACATACTATCCCCCTTAGGTATTAAATATTTTGTGTTAAAACCAATGAACAAACAAAATGTTCACGGTAAAATCGTTGAGAACTAAGGTTTTGGCTCACATATTTCTAAGATTATCCTCGTGCGTTTTTGAATGTCATAGCTTAGTCGATCCTCACCGGGGAACTGGAAACTTTGAAATCAACTTAAGTGCTAATACCCTTCAGGAAAGGTATGATTACTCTTCTTCTCCCCCCAGCTATAGGTAAATAGCAGGACAGACCGGGTTCTATAGCGTTGAATGGTAACTGGTCTACGGCAGAAAGAAATGTCAACCTACTGCAGGACAAAAATCTGTCTCGTCAGTCATGTATCGAAAGATACATGATTGCCTAAGCGTGTATTTTGCATGGCACATAGCTGACTGACTGACGTGCGAATACTCTTGAGAAAGGTATGAATTCTTTTCTTCTCCCTCGAGCTATGGGTAAATAGCAGGATAGACCGTGTTCTGTAGCTTTGGATGCTAACTGGTCTACCGCAGAAATAATTGGCAACCTACTGCGGGACAAAATATCTGCCTGATCAGTCATGTATTGAAAGATACATGATCGCCTAAGCATGAATTTAAAGGGAAAGCCTATTGGTCATTATGGGATGAAGATATATTATATTATTTCCTCCCGCGTTTAGCGTATTTTCCTTTGTGTCTAGAAGTTCATTTTTTATATTGATATCCACGGCCACCTTGAACTTGTTGAACTGGTTAATCTACAATTAATTTCGAAATTAACGTTTTATGTAATCTGAGTCTGTCTATGTTTAAGGCAGTGGAGAACTTTCAGAGGGAAAATTAGCAGGAGATAACTGATAACTGACATCCATCAAACATGGCAAGTGGAACTAGAACAGTCTACCCCAGTGATCGAAATAAAGGGTTCAGTTCGAAATTCCAACCACCTGAAGAAGGCCGGAGCGTACAACGGCCGAAACGTTGTGACAAATATGGCGACAAAGATGAGGACAATAGTCCGACTAATGTATATACTGTTTATGTAATATATTGAGATTTTCGTTTCGCTCGCCATGTCTCTTTTCCTTCTCAGTGATCTCTTAAAAAAAAACAAAAAAAAACTCTCCGCGTCGCTGTGGGTGACGAATTATTTTCCACCTTACAACCCATCAGACGAAACGCCGACTCTCCTTGATTTCCCTGGAAAGTGCTCAGTCGAACTACAATCCTCAGTTCTAACATTCGCAACTAAGACCCACCATGCTACGCACATTTTAGCAAAGAACCTGCATTCGCTCTGTATTCCATTATTGAGAGGCAAGTTTCATGTTAGCAGCTTCTTTCCACGAACCGTTGCTTTATGCAATCGACTCCTAAGAGGATGTTTCCACGACCAATACAAATCTTGGCTTGTTCAATTCTTGTGTCATTCGTTATCTTCCCCAGATATATCCTAAAAAATGCTGCCTTTTACAAAGTAACTCTCTACCTTAAGTGTTTTTAACTCTTATACAAGGGGAACATCACTGTAAAAAAAATCCCTCCTACGCAAGGCAATAAAGAGAATGCTTCGCGATCGCTATGAATCTAGCCTGTTAAAATCTAGAGTTAAATTATATCTTCCCATCATATTCACATAAACTGTAACCCTCAACTTCGAGTGGCTCTCTTTTACAAGGTGATCATCAATGAAATAAAATGGCACTGCTTAAGTATTACTCACCCTCGTACTTCCTATGGCAGAGGATTGAGTGCATATTTATTATATCAATTATTATTATTATTATTATTATTATTATTATTATTATTATTATTATTATTATTATTTCAACATTTATTTATTTATTATATATTATTTATTTATTATATGTATTTATTTATTTCTTGTATTTAATTATTTCTTATATATAATATTTATTATATATTATTATTATATCAATTATTATTATTATAAAATTATATATTATTCATTATATATTATTCATTTTATTTATTATATATATTATTTATTATATAGTATTTATTTATTATATTTATTTATTATATATAATATTTATTATGTATTAGTTATTATTATATCAATTATTATTATTATATCAATTATTTATTATATCAATTATTATTATTATTATTATTTATTATATATTATTTACTATATATATATTTATTTAATTATTATTATTATTATTTATTATATATTATTTATTATTATATCAATTATTATTATTATTATTTTTATTATTATTATTATTATTATTATTATTATTTATTATACCAATTATTACTCACCCTCGTATTTCCTGTGCCAGGGATTGAGCGCATATTTATTATATCAACAAATTCACAAGACAACGTTTCATTCCACAAATGTATTAACTGGTGCCGTGACAGAGACAATGGAACTTGCCCTCTTTCAACGATCTATTTCTGATGTTAACTATGTGTCCTTCTTGTTTCCATTTTCTCTAAAACTTTGTCATTGCTTATATGTTCAGTTCATGACATTCTCAGAATCTTTCTGTAGACCCACACTTATGCTGCTTGTATTTTATCTCTGACGAGTTGGCACTGGTTTGTAGACATTTGCAATCATTTAAAACTGATTATTCACACAGATTGATTCTCAGAATCATTGAGCTCTTATTTCTCAGAAATAGAGAAACATTCCAGAAATTTCCGACGAAGGTGCACCCCAGTTACACTTTAGATGCACTTTCTAGGGTGGTAGCCGTTTTAATACAAAGAAAGTTGCCTGATCGAAAAGTGATCCCGTTGTTGAAAAATTACAAAATACAGTTGAAGGATGGATACTGGTTTATTGATGTATTTAATGCAACAGCAAGATAAAACGTTTGTTCAAAAATGTAATGGGTAATGGATAAATCGATGAATACCAAATAGTGTTCTTCCTTGTTGCGTTCGGCGAGGTGGAATGGTCAGCAATCAAAGAATTTCCACTTTTATGGCGTCTTGCCTGCTAGCAAAAGTCATTAACCGTCGCTCCCAGCCAACATTTGAATTAAAATATTTTAGTCAAGACAGATTGGTCGACTAGCGGTTGCGAGATATGAACTAGATAAAGATCCCGCCTTCAGATGTTCTTTGAACTGTCATGCCTAATTAGAACTGTATTATTCATATTGCCAGCTTTTAATAAAATAACGCCTTGTATTTTCAAACTAAGTCAAAAAGTGTTGTTTTTTTTTTTAATAAATTTACCCCTTCTTTTGTGCTAAATTAAGTATTTAAGAGGTGGCACAGTAATGGATAGCCGCTCTGAGTGAGGAATCGGAGAGCCGTGTTCGAATTCGACTCGAATCCATTATATTTACTTACGTGCTGATACCCTTGGGGAAAGGTATGCATCCTCTTCTTCTCCCTCCAGCTATGGGTAAATAGCTGGACAAGCAGGGATGGTAACTGGTCTACCGCAGAAAAAAATGGCAACCTACTCCGGGGAAAAATCTGACTCGTCAGTCACGTATCGAAAAATGCATGATCAGCTAATCATGTATCAAGCATGATACATAACTGACTGACTTAATAAATTTATATTTAGTTTAAAATTGCAGCATCTAGTGTATTTTACGGGGGCGTCGTTTTACAATACGAAAGAGCAGCATCTGTAATTTAGAAGATATTTGAAGAAGAAATAAGCCTTATCTGAAAAAAAAAGATCATTACCTTATAGGAAATCTTCCTTACCAATTCACATTACGTTTTCTTGAAGCACAATTTTGTTATAATTTTAAGAAGATTAAAACTTGCATTAAGAATTCAAATTCCTGAGGCCAATTAGAAAAATAATAATTCATATCCAGGATGAACCATGAGAACTTAGTAATCAAAATTAAAGCTCATATGACCTTTCTAGGTAATTAATTTCCATTTTTAACGCTTTCATTAATTCTTTTTGATATTTTCCTACTCTTTTCCTCATTACTTTTTCAGAACTTAAAACCAAGATGAAAACATTTAATTAGAATAAATATTCAGAAAAAGAAAAGAGACGTTGGTATGCATTTTTCTTATCAAACTGGCCGACTTAAAAAACATCTTTCACTGCGATGAAAGTGAATTACCTCCCTTGTCGTCTTTCACGACGGCATCGTCATAACTTCGATTCTATGATGGTTAAAATATTAACTCGAGTTAAATCATTTAAATAACATATTTTATCATGCATAATTTTATCATTAATTGAGAAACTAGTTGAATATTTATACTTGAGATTTACGCCTAGGTTTTGTTTGTTTTACGATATGTCAATATTTTCCAGATTATTTAATTTCGAAATCTGTCGTACAGCAAAATTAGAAGCACATTTGATTTTCACAAAAAAAAAGAAAAGAAAAAAAGACAGACGCAGAGATTGTTTTGCACAAGACAAGTAAACTTAACTTTAGTTTACACGTGAGTCAAAAATGCCGACACGATAAGAAAATAGGTTCTTTTTTACGGGTGCTTACTCTACAATGTGATACACACCGAGTATTCTTCATCGCAACCAACTGTACAATTTGTTTTCTCCAGTGATTCATACATAGTGTTTAAATACCATCAGACACTTCGTTTAATACATTTATAAGGAATTAATAACAGAAGGAGTGGAGAGTTTAGCTCACAGGACATATTGAACGAATGTGAACAGCACCATTATATCGCATTTCCTGAAGAGATATGACACATCAAAGAAAAAGTTTCATATGTTATTGTCTTTATTTCGGTCAATGCAAAGTCCACGTTATGTCCAAAGAACAAATATGAAGGCACAAATACGAAAAAGAAACCGTAGAATATAAAGGATGGGTGTGCTGGTCTCATGGAATATTAAAAATATTTCTACACCCAAAGATTGCTCAAAGGTGTACAAATGGTAGCTTGGTCCAAGATGGAAAAAAAAAAAAAAAAAAACTACAAGCTGACTCAACTAATAAAAAAGGACGCTGTAATCCTTGCCGTAGTGACAAGACATACAGATTTAGAAATTGCTCTCTTCCCGATAGTTAAACGGAATTCTACAGTAGTAGAAAAAAAAAGCCTGCTAAGTGTCCTAATACCAGCAGAAGACCCACATTTGTAAGAAAATTTCAGAAGATTATCAATAAGAACTCTAGAAACTCAATGAACGACATTGCTAAGGAGCTAAAGTTTTCCATAGATTCTATCGGAAGAATTGTGAATTTCGAGACAAGTCATGTGATGCGCAAAGGCCATTTTATGACTGCTAAGAAAAACATAACAGCGTGATTAGCAGAGACGCTATGAATTTTCTAACGAGCTTACACAGAAGATTTCGGACAAATGTGATGGTTCTGGGAGACGTAGGCAACGAAGAAGATGGCTTTACACCTCCTCGTGGCTTAAGAGCCAATGCTGAAGACTATAAGGTGTTGGAAAGAGTTGTGAGGCCTTGTATGGTGAGTGTCAGCAAAGAAGGCCGTATAACTATCAAAAAGATTCTGCGCCGTTTCATAAGACGACCCCAAAAAATGATATACAGTTTCCACGATCACGTCACCCCAAAATATATTGCCTTCTAGTTCTTCAGAACTGAATGCGTTGGACTATTATATATGGTTGCGTAGTCGAGAAGGAACTCAATCAACGCCCCATATCTACTATAACACTATAAAATCTATGAAGTTCACTATAAATGGCGCAATATCAAACATAAAAAAAGAATAATCTGATTCGGGTATGTCAACGTTTCAGATTTCGTATTGAAGCAGTCATCGAGGCTAATTTTTGGAGTTTTTAAGTAGATGTGTCAAGAGTCTCAAGATTATTGATGCCTATTTTCTTCAAAAATAAAGCTCCCCTTTCACAGCATACACCTTTTACCATATTCATGAAAATGCTCTCAAAGAACTAAGCAACCCTGAATATAGTAATGTGTATGTAAAAAGGGGAGGGAACATATATATATATATATATATATATATATATATATATATATATATATATATATATATATATATATGTTTAAAATTATCGTAATGAATAAACATATTTTTTCATATAATTAAATGTACACAGGTGTCATAAAAACGATTATGCATAGAAAACAGACAAATTGATTTAGTAGAAATAAATCCCTTTAATCCATTTTAATGGGTGAAAATGTCTTTGTACAATACATAAAAGAATACATAATCTTCATTTAATACTTTGTAGAATAGGCATTATTCAATTCTACAGCAATCAACCATTTCTTGTAATTCTCAATTAACGATTTGCAAATTTTAGTTGGTATTTTGTTCCATTCTTCTTCGCATGTGGTCTTCAGATCCGGTATGTTTGATGGAGCTCTCGATTGGATTTGAATTTTCAAAGAACTCCACAAATTCTCGATCGGATTTTCCCAAAAGTCCATTTTACACAAAATTTTTTAATAAAAAACAAAACTGTAAAAATCGATTACATTTCTATGAGAAACATTGAAGCAATAATAAAAGCCCAAAATGATGAAAAAGAATGGGTGTGGGTAGAAAAAAATTGAAGCTGCCGTGATACGGTAAACTTTGTCCGCTAAATGGTAACTGCCTGATGAAGGGACTTTTTATAGAGCCAAAGTAGCGCCTATAAAGAGCCAAAAAATTTTTATATTGGTTCAAAAGAAGAAACGTTCAAAGCAAGATATTCA